CAAACATCGAGACTAATATGAACAACGCAAAAAAGGTGGAAAATGGCCACGAATGAACGAGTGCGTATAGTTGTGCAACTAAACGCCATTATAATTACTGATATTAAGATAAGTGTCACAAATCTGTGCAGCGGGAAATCTGAGTTGTGGAGCCGCAGGAGGAGCGCTGTGCGCTGTCCTCCGACTCCAAACGCAGGGGCCGTAACGCAGAACCTGGACGCTGGGGAGGAGGGATCTAAAACCCTATTTACAGTTTTTCAGACTCAGACGATACTGGAACACACAAATTATTACTAAAGTTTTTTTTTTTGTTTTGTTTTTTTTTTTTGTACGGTTGTAAGCATTAAACAATCTCGCCATTATAAAATAACTTGCAGTTAAGTATTGGCAAAGATCAATGTAATTTTCACAGGTAGCGGAGCTTTGTTGTTAGCAGCTGCTGAGAGTAACTAAAACAAGTTACTTTCCAAATCAAATAATCAGCAATCTAAGTTACTTTTTCAAGGAATAATCAGTAATCCGATTAAAGTTACTTTTTCAAAGTAACTATGCCATCACTGTCTATGATATAAATTCTCACTCATACGAATGGGAGGTTGTCATTTTTATTTGACTAAATGTGCACAATTTTAAGGAGTATGAATACTTTTGCAAGGCATTGTGAAACCACATGGATATTCAACATCTTTCTTTAGAGATACTTAATTAATAAATCTTATTAATTCACAGTTTCCCTCGAGAGCAAGAACAATGGCAGATTTATGGGATTCATGCTGGAAGCTCGTAGCCTGAGTTTAAATGGTGACGGTCCTCCACTTGGGAAATTTATCATTCTTGACTCTGGCCAGTCGAGACTGCTGACATGTGGTTCACAGGTAAGCTCAGCAAGTAGCGATTGCACCTAATTACCTCTTCCATCTTTCACATATTCTCTGTCATACTGAAGGGAATGAGTTTTAGACGATGTTTTCTCTTTAATGTTTGTTGCTCTTGTCAGAACTCAGCTGTGAGTAATACACTCAATCTGGCCAAAACCTTAGTCAAAGTAAACTGGACCGCAGACGGAGAAGAGCAAGACATCATCTTCAGGTAACTTTTAAACAATTGTACAATTTACAGTATCAACATCAAAAGTCAGTTATTACCTCAAGTTGCATCCTACAGGGCTACTTTCAGTCAAACCTACTCAAAGTACTGGGAACGTGTGAATGTAACAGTACTCAGACCCACAAGCACTCCAGAACCAGAGACAACAACTGGAGCAGCAACAACAACAACTGAAGCAGCAACAACTGAAGCAGCAACAACAACTGAAGCAGCAACAACAACTGAAGCAGCAACAACTGAAGCAGCAACAACAACTGAAGCAGCAACAACAACTGGAGCAGCAACAACAACTGAAGCAGCAACA